GTCTATGTAGTTCATCCATGCAACATCACAATGCATAGACAAAAGGGTGGAGTTTGCTTAGAAATGTTTCTCCCCATTTTGGGGGTATCAACAGTGATTTCCCATAGTGTGAGTTATGTATATGAACATGAACAAGAATGATGCTTACAGAGATTATTCCTATGCAGTTCTTCTTCAGGACTAATTTTCATCCCTCTGTGTAACATTTTGACCTTTGAAACAGAAAATGTTCTCTTTGCCACAAAATTTGGGAATACACAGCATTGATTCACCAACACAAAACAACCAGATACATTTTTAGTGGTACATTTGAATTGGAGACCAGCACATTATACTGAAGCACAAAATGGTTACAGTTCTAAATGAGGATGGATAGTGGAGGTACAGTTTTTCTTTACAGATTTAGGCAAATCAGAATACAATAGCAAAGGGTTTCATTGGATATAATATAAAATATACCTAGTGAAACCATTAGCGTGTAACTATAATAGAAGAGGGGTACAAAAACAATGAAGTTTTGAAAAAACAGAAGTAATATCTATATATTGGGAATATAATTTCCTTTTCTTGGACTTTGTAGCAGATTGATACTGAGAATACAGTACTGACATGTTAGAGAATATCACAGGAATACTACCAAGAAAATAAACAAACAACTTATCAAACACACCAACCCAGATTTCTCACTTGAGGCACAAATGACCAGGTTTAAATCAACCTACTTTCAATATGTAAGAAGAGACCAAGTTCTCAAGAAAAGGCTTTATTGCTGAAAAGAGTGGAAGGAAGTAGAAGAGGATAACTAGCAGTAAGGTGGGTGGATTCAATGACAGTGGTGATGATGAATTCACAAATGGAACATCTGAATGACAAAGTTAGGGAGAGATCATCATAGAGAAAATCTATCTATGTGGTGGCTAGAAGTCAAAGATGACATGAGAGCAAATAATCAATCATTAATAATTTCCTTACTGAGAGTTACTTTCTTCTGCTCTTCCAGGTCCCTCCTTGTTTCCCATTATCTTTTTTTAATTTATCATTTATTTATTTATTTATTTAGCATATAGCACATCATACATGGACTAACAATCTAAATAAACATTTCAACTAGATTGGCAAAACCCAATAAAATATAAATTTTAAAAGATCTATGTTCAAATATCAATCTCTAGGCCATTGAAGCGCAGCATCATTTATATTAAAAAAATAAGATACTGCACCGTTATATGCCCTCAGTTTACAGCCAATCATGATATAATCTAGTTTGATGTAGGACCCTGCAGTCACACTCAGGGGAGGATACTATGCCTTATTTATACAGAGTCCCAGGAGATGCCATGTGAGGTGCGAATCCAATTCAGGATTGTTCAAAGCCTGGCATCTTTTTTGTGAGGTCATTTTGTGGAGTCATTTATATGTCTTCCTATAACTGGGCATTAAAGGAAGATACATGGCAATAAAAATCAGCTTATTGTGATTCCTTGGTTTTCTAAATATTCTGATACTAAGCTGACTTTCCTTGGGAAAATATTTTTTTGTAGTGGGCAGTCCAGTTTCTCCAGTGGTGGGTTGCTACCGGTTTGCCCCAAATCAGACAAACTGGTGGTGGCAGCGGCGGAGGCTCCGCCTGCCCACCCGCCCATCCACCCGGTTGCACATGCATGTGAGCATGCGTGCGCCCACAAGCAAACCAGTAGTGACAGGTTTTGAAATCCGTCCCTGGTTTGATCGCATATAGCTGAGTCAGTACTTAGTTTCCCTTGAGAAGATCTATTGGCTAAGGGCTTTTAACTTGCCACCCCCACCATTTTATACAATATTCATATCCATATTTGGAGCAATTTTGCCATTAAAATTAATCAATACCCATGATCAATATTTAAGTACACATTACAGCAGGCGTTAAGAATCCGTCTATTCTTATTTATTACTGAGATTAAAAAGCAAGGAAAGCATGATCGAGGGGCTTAATGCCTACACTTGTTAACATTGTCTTTATCCTTAATCACGATTCATTTTGCTTCATTGGTCTTGAAAGCAATTATTCCTGCTTAATTTTGGCTGGACCATACCAGCATGTGTGTAAGGGAGCGTAGGTACACTTAGAAAGAATAATTAACATATTTTATTAAAGTTGCTGAATATTTTGCATCAAGATTCCATCAATCTTGTCTTCCTAGATACAGGAAGTATTAGATTATTTTTCATCACATACTGTAGGTTAACATAAGATTGGTTTGTTTGGAGATAGTTTTTTTTTTTTAATTGCTGTTGTATGCTTTGCATTATAAGTGGAAATTAGGAGATAATTTTGTACATTGATTTTTTTTCCTACTCAAGGACCCAGTCAATTTACAACATTTGGCAAGTGTATATTAGATTTCCTAAAGTGATCATTCCAGAATGTTTTGATTCATTCTTCTTCGTATTTGCAAAAGTGGTACAAAACTAATAATGAATTAAAGGTTTGGGAATGGGGGGAGAGACAGTATGTTCATAACCATAATTAAGGGGAAAAACACTTCTATGTTTATTTTTTCCACTCACATTCAATTTAAAATGGAAATACATATGTCTGTGAGATTCAAATATGTTTGACAAGAGACAACAGCAGCAGGTAGGTATAGTGAAAAAGCAGCATTAATAAAAATATTTCTGCCATAATAGCCTACCAAATGATCATTTTTCAAAAATTTGTAAGAAGTGCCCGTATGTTCTTTCAGAGTGCTTACTTACATAATCTCCCTCCTCCCAAACTTTCTGAATTGATAAAATACATAGCAAATGCTATTCAGTTGATTGTTTGGATTGTTTTGAATGTTATAAACAGCAAATTTCAGTAGATTATCTGTTCTTCAAAGAGCCTTTACAAGTTTCTGATACTAAACAATTCAGTAAGGCTATACCACCACACAATTTTATATGTTTATTATGTTGTATGCTTGATAATTATTCCGATATTGTGTATTCTTTATTGAAAAGCTAAAAGATCTATTTGAAGTTCCATGCAATGGGGGATGGGGGGGAGACAAAATAATGTGTTTAAGAAATATTTTCTAATACCCATGAAAGAAATAACCATGATTGCAATTTGTTCTTCCCAAATTAAATTCAGCTTTGAGAAGATGCCATCTTGGAATCAAGATGTTACTTTTCAATGTAAGATGGAGTTTCAGGGAGAAATCTGATGCTCTGAGGGCTTGCTGCAAAGGTGCCTATTTTATTCTAATTTGGGGGAAACCCCAAATATCTTAGGCTCAATAACAGTACTAGACAAGATATGTTAGCTCATAAATAAGATGTTGACTTTCAGGAAAAAGTGGACATGGATTTCTTCCATTGTCAGCAACAGGAAAGAATTAAGTCTGCCAACTCCTAAATTTGCATATCTTTTCACACATATTATAGAGCAGAGGTAGGAAATTATGGCCCTTTTATGACTTGTGGACTTCAACTCCCAGAATTCTGGGCTGGCATGGCTGCCTCTGCTCTCAGAGACTCATGGACTCTCAGAGACTTGTGGACTGCTGTGCTGTGGACATCCATAATTCCCCACCTCTCTACCCAGAGACTTGTGGACTTCAATTGCTAGAATTTTGGCTAGCTCAGGAATTCTGGGAATTGAAATCCAAAAGTCATAAAAGGGCCAGAGTTCTGCATCCCTGTTATAGAGGAATAAAAGAATCCAGAATCCAAGTATCTAAAGCATTTTCCTGCCATATCATTTCCCTGCTTTTCATCATCTTAGCATCAGGAACAAAGGTGGGATGATGGTGAGGTATCTACAGAGACTTAAGCGTCTGAGAGTGGGTTTCCTTTTATATTCATGGATTCATAAGGAGGAGATGCTTAAGATACCCAGGAGCCATTTCCTTGTGATCACTGAAATTTAGTAGTAAAAGATAAAAAAAGGAGGAGCTCTGATTTGCTTGATATATAGGTCCGTTTGTTTGTTGTACTGTTTTTCTTTTGTTCCCATTTGAGGAGATGCAACCATTAAAGATGTTAATTGTAACTTCTGTTGAATGTGTTTATTTTTATAAAATTCATGGTCTTACAGTTTCTAGCATGATGCCTTAACTATTCTACCAAACTGGCTCTCAAAAAGTTTTTTATGATCATATAAATCTTTATATTAGGATGACTTTTCTGGTGCACATGGGCATTTTTTTTTTAAAATTTGATTTATATGCCGCCCTTCTCCGAACTCAGGGCGGCTTACAATGTGCTCAGCAATAGCCTTCATCCTTTTGTATATTTATACAAAGTCAGCTTATTGCCCCCACAAACTGGGTCCTCATTTCACCTACCTTAGAAAGGATGGAAGGCTGAGTCAACCTTGAGCCTTGGCGAGATTCGAACCCTGCAATAATTGCAGGCAGCTGGTCTTAATAATTTGATGCTGCCAAAATTATTGGCTTGCATAGTAACAAATCTCAGCCAAACTGGAAGACTGAAAGAACATTTGACCATCCCAAATACTGATATACTTTTGGAATGTAGTTGCATCTCTGTCCTCACTTGGTTTGGAATGAACAAAGATACAGATATACTTGCTTCAAAAGTGTGTGAATTTAGGGTTCTTTTTGACAAATGGAGCAATATAGTTTTGCATACATATAGAGAAAGAGATGGATTTGGAAATATGGCTGATTTCTGGAAGCAAAAAGATATTCCCCAAAAACGGAAAATAAAAGAAAATAGTTTCAATATAATTAATTTGTCCAAGAGTTACCTACAATTTTTGCCTCATTCAACTAATTACAATCTCCACGTTTTCAATATTATAGAAACAAAAGTTGGCGCAAAGGCCAATGTTAAATTCAAACTTACATTTTATGGCAAAAAACCCACAAAAACCCACAGTTAAGATTATTGTAGCTTGTACAATATTTGTAAAATAAAATTGGTCTTTTTTTTTCATTCTTTAGATTTTGTATCAATTCAGGAAGATGGGAAGGAAAACGGATGTACCCCCAAAAATGATTTCACAAATTAAGTCATTTACTGAATGTGTTTAATTTTAACAACCAAAAAATTCTAACAGACTAACAATGCACATAAGTTAAAATTTAATTATCACTTAGTGATAACAAAGATCAAGTTGATTTACATGGAAAAAGAACATTTACAATATGGTAATCCTCATTCACATTGTTGATACCGCAATAACACCATTTTTTTTTTTTTTAGTTTTCTCTTACTTCACAAAAAGGCGGAAAATTGTGCTTTGTTAAGAGGCACTACAAGAAAAAATTCTTTTTCCAAATAGATATAATATGATGAATATTGAATAAATAGACATATATGCATTGTAATTCGCTAAAGTTCTGGCAAGACCACAGGCGAAAATGCCCACAGATTCACTTAAAAGAATCACTGCAAAATTGACAGTGAAATTTAAAATAAAAAGGCAAGATTCAGCATTGAAAAAAATACCTACTAAATTTTTGGTTGAAGTGTTGTTGTTTTTTTAAAAAAAACACCAATGCTGATGCCGTCAAAGAGATGAATAACCTTATGAAAGATTGACCAATATTACATATATGTACTGATTTCAGCAAGAGTGTTTCAGAGAAGAATCTGAAAAGATAATTTGAAGGAAAACATAAACCAGCGCCTTCTGAAATGTTGATTAAAGCTGCAGCATACTACAGAAATAAAGTATGAAGAGTTAGCAAGCCAACATTTTTTAAGGATATAGAAAATGGACACAGCTACAGATTTGTTGATGTCAAATACTGATTTTGGAGAAGCCCCTTTAAAAAAACTTTAGAGGTTACTGAGCAGCTAAAATTAGCTTGTATTGCAACGCGTCATCTCCCTGTTACATTGTTAATGCTTTGAGTAATATCTATACAGAGGTTTGCTTTAATGACTGCCTTTTATACCTTTCAAATATATAAATAGTATTAACAGTTATATATTACAACGCCTGTGCAAGAAATAAAATAGCTTTCCAAGTGATATTGCATGAGGTCTTTGTTAAAAGTTACAAAGCACATGTCAAGAAAAAAGTTAGAAGTCCGCAAAGCAACCTAGACCCATTAGAAAGTCATAGAACCCTTTCAAAAATATAATGTGGACAAGGAACTGAACACTGCTTGTATCAGAACCATGGCTTCAAAAATTGGTTGGAAACTATAGTAGATTGCAGCTTTAATGCTTATACTATTGAAGAGTCAGTCAGCATTAGTTCTGCTTTATGTAATGGAATTGCTATGCTAGGTCACTGGGAAAAGGTTTCTGTTAGAGTCAAGGAAGTGACTAAATAGAAACTGCTTGGCTATTTCTCACTGCCTAGAAGTGCAGCAAGTTTAGAACATTTGTTCCCACAAACTTTGCCACGCATTACATGAAAATCATACCTTGGGACACTGCAGGCTGAAAGTTTTGTCTTACTGAGATAATGAGCCTTATGCACAAGGCTCCAAATGTAGTACAGCAATAATAAAACAAAAATGAAAGAGGTACAAAAGGAAATTCAGCGCTGGAGAACTATCAGACTCTTTGACTGACTAATATGTCAAACATGCCCAAAATAACTGTGATTCGTTTTTTTTTTTTTAAAATCATTTGAAAAATCTTTGTTGAAAAGCAACATCAACATATATAAACAACAATTTTCCTAACATCAATATCAGACAAAAACTAAAGGAGCAAGAACTGTAGCTGCACAAGTCTCACTGAAATTAATAAAAAGTGGTGCAACAACAATGTAGATGATTTGCGCATTTGAAAAACAATACCACTATAAACTGTGGCTCAATATAAAAATCCACACAATAAATCTTGTAAAGCAACTGCTCATGAAGACTTCATTAAGAGACAAGTCTACTGTGCACCGAACTTTCACTGAAAAGTCCATGAAAATCCATCTGTTTGCTACAGAAATAATATAGAACAAAACATGCTCTGTGAATTTAAATGTGCATTGTGTACTAAAGTTTGTTTAGAAGTTACTTGGCTTAAAATTATTTTTAAGGTGCCCTGATTTTGTCCCTCATCTTCTCACTCCCTGTTTTATTATTTCTGGCAGTGTTGATTTAGGATTTTTAAAATGCATACCTCAAAAAATTACCCCTCAAGCTGCCAAAGTGGAAGCCATACTAATAATTTAAAAAATCAGGGATAAACATAGAAAATAAATAGATATTCAAAACAGTAACCACACCCTGAGAGCAGGCAGCAATTTATCTAAAAGCCAAAGCGACTCATTGTGAAGTGGTTTATATAAACAAGACTCATCTTTTAACGAGCTGATTTCACAGTCTATACTTTCTGATTGTAAAGTTTAGTTACATCCCATGCAGATTTCATATATATGTATATGTGTGTGTGTGTGTGTGTGTGTGTGTGTGTATATATATATAAAATCCACTTACATATGGTGCATATTATATACACACCACACACCTGCACACTGTTATTGTTTCCTTCATAAGTTGTTTCTTCCTGTAACTTGCTTACTAGAGGATCCTTTCGTAAGTGCAAGATTAATAATGATGTAATCCTATGTGAATTACAATTAACTGTCTCAATAAAACATAAAAAAGTGTAACACTCAAGTGCCTGTTACAAGGGAATGTCTGAACTATGCAAAATAATTGTTCAATTTGCACGTATTCTATGCACGCTGGAAAATTCCAAAACACTTTTTTTTTTCTGAAAGAAGCAAAAAAAAATATTGGAACCATGTATTGCTTTGCCTGTGATATTTTCACATTATCTCTGCTCAGTCTCTGAAGTAGTTGCTTTGTTTTTTTCTGAATTCTCTTCTTCAGTTTCCACTTTGTACATTTCCTCAGAACCCTCCTCACTGTCATTCTCCTCTGACTCAGTCAGCAGCTCTTCATCTTTATACTCTGCTACATCCACCACTGTACCTAAATGCTCTTTTAGTTTCCCATGATGCTTTACATGGTAACGCTGGTTCTGGAAGAATTTGATGATGGTGTGCTTGGGCAGATCCAACTGGGCAGATAAAGTGTGGATGGCCTCCTGGTCTGGATAAAGGCCAACGTCATGGATGAAACTCTGAAGGATACCCAAAGCCTCTAATGAAATCTTAGTACGGGATCTTGGCTTTTTTGTAGATGCATCTTCTGCAGACGGGGGTGGAGCCTCTTCTCTTGGTGGGGAGTTTTCCTTTGCTGGCTGAGATTGCTGTCTATGAAGTACCTTCAAAACAAACAAATTTATATATTTAATAAAAATTATGTTCACACAAATCTGGCTCATTGTTAATCAAATTGGTATCTTCATATTTATCCCTGGTAATCAAATATTCATATGTAAAAAAAAGAGCTCATTTTATTGGTTTCACACATAGGGCAATATGAGCAGAGATAATTGAAAGAAATTTGTTAGAATGATGAAATGAAGACTTACTACTTCTGATTTACAGCTCAAGTACTGGTATATTCATTAAAAAACATGGGATAAGGAAAAGGAAGCCTTGAGTCAGAAGGAAAAGCATATTCAAAAAATAAGAAATTATCACTGCTCTGCCTGGTCAGAGGACAAGTTACATAATGTTTTTAAAAATTAAGTCTACAGATAGATTTTGGTTCTAGAGATGGATCTTTGGCATTGAGCTTAAAATCCTAGGATAGTTTTGCTGTTGTATTGTTTATACTATTAATGATACAAGAACCACAATACATTGTTTGCTTTCATTTTTTTCCTTTTAACACTCAGACAGTTAGTTTAGGTGTATGTATGTATATGAATAAATGTAAAAAAGAGCTGTGCTGAATGACAGAAAATGCCCATCTGTTCCAGAATTCTATTTGTGCAACAGTTCCAATTTACGGAAAGCCCTCAAGCAAGATATAAGCAACCAGTATCCAGAGACAAACTGCCTCTGTCTGATCCTGGTGGTAATCAGGCTGACATGTTAGCTCTGAACATTCTAACTGCAGCATTCTATGGTTTCTTTTTAATTCAATTGTTTACCAGGTATATGGTGAAATTATTCAATTGTACAGGATTTTTCCTTACTTTTCACATTTTTCTTCTGCAGCACTTCAATACACAAAGCAAATTATGACAATATTTGCAGTGATCACCAATGCAGAAAACAGGAAAAATATGTTTTATATTATTTTTGTGATCCACTATGTCAAGCAAAACAACAGTAGTAAGAATGGAATAAAATGTCACAGCTGGAAATAAATGTTCCAGAAGTTTTGCACCATCACCTTTCACCAATGTGTGGTCCAGTGATGTATTAGACAGAAAGAGAGGGAGTCAGGAAAAAAGGCAGACAGGCAGGCTGGAAGATAGATTTCAATTCTAAAACTTAGTTGTTGCTACAAGTTAGGTCCTACACTCTTTAACTTTAAGGGCAACATAATAAGTACAATTATTTTATTCAAAAATGGAATTGACATCATCCGCTAAAATTAATTGGCTCAGAAAAATTATGTTGCTATATATTATAGTCATTATTTAAAGTAATAAAAAGACTAAATAGGACCCTATTTTCAAAACAACAAATTCACTTGTTATGAGATCTATTAGTTTAATAGTGGATAATCAGCTTACTCTTTTAAAGGTAGTCTCCTAAAATCAATCTAATTTTTCAAAATCATAGGCTAACAAAGCAGCACTGATCTTAATTATCATCTGGAAATATTGTATCTATTTCAAGATGGATCATTACCTCATTGTACAAAGAGGTGTATACATGTGTTAATTATCTTACAGTTATGCTATGTATAGGATGTATAAGCCATTTTTAAAGATTAGTGCTTTTTTCCAGAGTTGCTTACACTCTATTTAGAACAGCCCTGACAGTATCGCAAATAAAAGTAACCTATCTTTGTAAAATCTAATAGTAGACATGCACTTCAAAATCACTAGTGGCAAAAACTATCTGTAGGTTATGTAATGAAATTCTGGGTTCTTAAAGAGGTCTTTTAGCAATTGTGTTCTGCTCTTAGGCAGAACTTGCTGGGATGGCCTGACATCTACAATCTTTGTTCTGAAGGCCTCAATGGGGTATACTTATTTTTCACATGACTGCATTTACTTAAGATGGTTCCTCTCCCCACTCCCCATTTCTATTCAACTATATTTAAACACCAAGTTAAATGAAAATACTTCAACTGCAAGTAAAGCATGTATCTGTTGTATGTACTTTTCTCTATATTTGACTGGTAGAAACCCAAACCTCAATAAAGTTATGCACATCTGCAGATGACAATTCAGCCTATCATGGTTACTGATGATAAAATGAAAGATCAGAACTGATTATCAATTGTTGTCTAGGGCTATTTCAGGAATGAAAATTGATAAGCCTTCCAGCCAATGTATTTGATGACTTATATTGAAGCTTTATATTCTAAACAGTAGCACTAATAACTTGACATAAAATTATTTATCTAAGCATGTTAGGTTTCTCCCACCCCCATTTTGTAGACTGTTAATTTCAAGGCCCTCCTCCCCCTGTTAAAAGAGAAGAAATATATTAACACTAGCTATACCCGGCCACGCGTTGCTGTGGCCCAGTCTGGTGCTTCCGCTGGGCTAAAAGAGCAAGGCTGAAGTTCCAAACTCTCCACCAACATTTGCTGGGCATGGCCAACTCGACATCACTCACTTTCATCAGTCACATGACAGCCCCAGAGCCACGCCTACCCAGCTGGTGATTAGGGCAGAGAACCGGTTGCTAAAAAACAATGGGAACCACAAAATCGTCCCTCCCTGTCTCCCCCTCTCTCTTTGTATCTCTCTATGTCTCTCTCCCTTCCCCGTCTGTATCTCTCTATGTCTCTCTCTTCCCCCCTGTATCTCTCTATGTGTTTCTCTCTCCCACTCTCTCTGTATCTCTATGTCTCTCTCCACCCTCTCTCTGTATCTCTGTCTCTCTCTCCCCCCATCTCTGTCTCTCTCTCTCTCCCCTCTCTGTATCTCTCTGTCTCTCTCTCTCCCCCCTCTGTATCTCTCTATGTGTCTCTCTCTCCCACCCTCTCTCTCTGTATCTCTGTATGTGACTCTCTCTCCCCTCCCCGTCTCTTTGTATTTCTCTATGTCTCTCTCTCCCTCTCTCTCTGTTTATCTCTGTCTCTGGCCTGGCCTCTTCTGCATTTCCCGCCATCACCCTTACCTTTTCAGGCTAGGCCTTCGCAGCTCTCCGCACCACAGCAGAAACTACACAGAAACTACAAGATGTTCTCTGGGGGCTCGACAGGGAGATGCATAGCAGGGAAGGGAAGGGAAGGGAGGGAGGGAGGAGGTGTGGCGGGGATTCAAGGCGGGTTTGGGGCTTCCCGTCCGAAGGAAGAAAGCAGCAAAGGCAGGAGCCACGCACATCCCACTGGACCCCTGCTGCGCAGTTCTCCTCCCCTGCCTGCCAAGGGCAGGGGAATGATTAAATCCCCCGCTCTTCCAGGCTAAACGAAGGAGGGCCGGCCATCCTCCCTCCTGACCGTTTCCGCCCCCCAAAGTCTCCCCAGAGCCCCTTTTCTGCCTGAGGCCGAAATTTTCGTGTAGGCTCTGTGAACTGCCAGAGCGCCCACCTGGGAATCAAAGGCAGCACTGGTCAAAGGCGACCCCGAAGCTCCATCTCCCACTCACCGACCGGATTCGCATAGCGCCAGTTAGCGGTTGGTCTTTCTGACCTCGGGACCCATGGTAGTGCTAGGCCAGGCGCGATTCGGGCCAAGCGAGGGATGGAGGTTTCCCGCTCAGTGGACCCAGGCAGCCTCATTGCCAGGTGTTCTTTGGAGGGAGCCCTGAGAGCTGCTGGCGAGGGGGATGGGCAGCAGCGGCGGGCGACGCTAGTTCGTGGGGTGGCCGGGGGAGGGGGAGGTCAGAGCCAGGCTCGGGCGGGCCCTGCCCAGCCCTAGAAGCACCAGCTGCGAGGGCTTCCCAGTGGGGAACCGGCTGCCTACCTGCCGAGCCTGGTGGCAGGATATGGCCCTCGGGTGTCTCTGCCTTCCAAATGCGCAGTTTCTTGGAAGCAATATGGAGAGTCTAAATATAAGGAGCAGAAATCTGTTGAGCGTAATCAGGGCTGGGAGGTTGCCATGTTGGTTTTACGTCCAGCAGATGGCGCTGTTTTTCAATGTTTGTCAATGTCTTTCAATGTTTTCCAATGTTTTTCATATTTTTACCTGTCACAGGTGTGACATGGATATAATATAGGTATATAACAACACGCCCGTAGTCAAATGCAATGTTGTGTCAAAATTTGAAAGCAATCGGTGAAGAACTTTCGGAGATGTGCGGTTATGTACAAACGGACATTTACATTTTTATTTATATAGATAATGCTGTGGAATAAAAGGTGAGGGTTCAACTAGCCATTTTGCCTCACAGACTGAAAAATGTCTGCCCTCCTCTTTTGGTATCAGTTACATATTTTTAGTGGTTTGTATTAAATCAGAGTTACCAATTATTCTGAACTTCAGCTTTGTTATCAAGGAAAGTAAGTCAAATTTCTTACAGCATGTATAAACAAGAAGTAAAAGTGACAGTTGTATCTGAGCTGAATCTTGCATCCACTACAAGTTGTCATTGATTGAGTATAAACAGCAAAGCCTGAAAGGATTGTATAAAAGCGGACTGTAACTTAAATACAATGTATTGTTTATAAATAGGTCAACTCTCTTCATTTATTTTTAAGTAATTTAGGATTATAATTCAAACATGGCTTTGATTTTAAGCTTTCTACTTTCACTCCTCCCTCTACCCCTTCATTAAGCACATGAGTTTTCTCTGCAATTGTGACCATCTGGAAATGACTTCCTATTTTTTCCTCAAATCATTTCCCATCTCCTTGCAAATCTGAATTGAAACATGTTTTTCTACCCTAGCCACAGGTCTCAAATGTTTCTGTTTCCCTAATGCATTTCCACTTTAAGGTTATGGCAATACTGCAACCATTCTTGTACACAAGCGACAAAGTACAAAACTGTTTTGTTTATTAAAAATTGATTTTTCTTAGGTATTAATTTTCACTTTTTAAGGTATTAACTTATTCAGATAGAAAATATACAGCTACCTAATATGATGAAAGCTGACTTTAAAAAGATAAGTGATTCCTATTAAATCATACAACACTGCAATATGTTTTGAAGGCCACAATGAAATCCAGCTGGGAACCATGTGTAAAAAATAACAGTACACGCCTGCAGGGAAGGAAGTATGATATGGAATGATTACATTTAGGA